CTTTGTAATTAGCAGAATTATCATTATTGACATTTGTATGATGCAGATTTTCATACTTTCATATTTTTTTTTTAATTTATTATGAAGATATTGCACATCATTTTGATCGTCAATTTTTTGTAATATTCGAATTTATTCTAGACACGTATGTATATAGTATTGTACAGATTTTTCATATCTTAATTTATAACTAAAAAAATAAAACAAATTAAATTTAATTGAAGAAGTTGTCTCAAATTGTGTATAAATATTTATATAATTAGTAGATCTATTATTTAAGATTAAAATATGAAGTGTCGAAGTGATTAAACTGTTCATAATTTCCAATTAAGAAGCTTTTCTCAAATTGCAAGTAGTACTTCTGATACTATATTTTTTATATAATTAATTGATTTTACAAAACTTGTCAAAATATACTAAATATACCAAACAATGTTTCGAAAACTAGTGTACCATTCGGTAATTTCTTTTATCTTACAAGAATACTTCTAAAAACAATGATATTACACTTTTATCACATTTTATAACCGTCTGTCTAGTTTAAAATTCACTAAATATATTACAGTTTGAAAAAACTTTTGGCATCCTCAGTCAAAATTTATCTCGAAGCGCTTTTAAAGTACATACCTTAGGGATAGACTAATAATTTTAACAATGCCCTCGTGATATGTTGTGCTATTTTGCTGCAGAATTTGAGATTTTAATGTAAATATTATGTAGAAACTTTTAAAATATGAGAAAGCTAAAGGCAAAACAAAAATATTTGAGAAAAAAATCTTTACAAAATATGGATTTGAAATTGTAGTAAAACATATGTATTAAAACATACTTGTATAAACAATAACTACCTGGAAACTTAATTAATTCATATAATTAGAATTTATTGCCAAATTATATACAGGAGCTCCTAATAACTGTGTCATTCAATATACTGAATAATTATAGCTAAAATTGTTCTAACAAATATACTAAATTGATGTATGTACATAAATTAATGTGATGAAATTTCATTATAAAATGTTAATTCCACAAAATATTAATAATAAAATCTATTTAAATTTCAATATGACTTTATCAACCACTGAAAAAATTATCTGACAAAATTTAATTTATGAACTGTAATTACAGAGGCAAAACTTTATCTAAATTGACTGATTTTCTATAATTTAGAGCAAAAATACTTGCAACAACTATGAAGAACAAATTTTGTAACTAGTAACTGTGAAATATAATATTTCCTATCGGAGCCCGAAATAGAATCTTTACCATCCCTTACATTTACTTTGGAAATGAACGTAATATTTCATGTATATATTTTAATTACTATGACTTTTTAATTAATAATAAATTTGCATTATATAATACCACACGCAGTAATAATTATGAAACTGCAGCAAGTGTAATAAATTGAAATAGAACTGCGATTTAATCGAAAATATCGTATGCAGCCAAATAAATTACAGTTACCTAGTGGAAAAGTTTATTTTACGTAATGATAAATCACTGGATAATGATAATTAACTAACATAATTAATATGAACAGGTCGGTTGACATTGTAATATAAATATGAGGTAAGACTTATTTAAAAGTGGCATTAATCATTATTACGTTTAATATTAGAAAGCAAAAACCGTCATCATGTACGATTAAAATGGCACTTAATTTTGTTTGCAAGATTTGCAATAACTAGATTCGCAATTTCTAGTATCAATTCTTTGTCAGTCGTGAAATATTATTTCATTGTTACCAGAACGATGTTAATTTTTTTTAATTAAAAATTGTATGAAACATAGAAAAACAATCTGGTATAGTATATCCTAAATGCTGGTGCGATATCTTATGTAAAATTAGCCTCTCTTTGATAAAATATGTTTTAAGTTTTTTTTTACACTCAGATCTTTATTTGTCTATAATAAGTAAATACAAAAATATATTAATAACAAATTGCACACCTATCCAGTATATGAACTATACTAAGCAGGAATTAACAAATATGTGATATTGAAAATAATAGAAAAATTCTATAAAAAAAATTATATACATCATATGAATGTTTTAAATTTTTTTGTTTTTCAAAACAAAGTTTTTGAAAAATTCCAATAAAAACAGTCATCAAATGCTATGACCCAATTGCGGTAAGAGTTTTATAATTATAGGTAGAAATCAGTAATTATACTAATATAGTTCATTACATCAAAATAAAGTAAACTAAAGTAAAGTAAAGTAAAGTAAAGTAAAGTTAATAAAGAAACTAGTAGTGCATGGCTTTGTGCCATAAAGCAAATTGCTGGAACTTTCCGTATTATTGAACTTTTGAGAAATAAAAATAATCAATAATCAATCAAAATTCATTAATAATTTAAGATTATTAATAGGATCATTAAACTATTATAAATTATTTACGTGCTAAATTAAGTACTGAAATGGAAACATTTTTGGAATTCGTATAATACTTATATTTACATATTTTATTCATCTACCTGTTTATTTATCTACCTCTCCAACTGCATATCGACGTGTCTACCTGCCTGCTTGCTATACTATCTATTACTATTTTTTTATTATTTACCATGCTACCTCTCAGACTTGAGAGACTTGTTACTTGACTACCTTACATATTTTGCATTTGTTTACATACCTTCCTGTCTACCTGTCCACCCGTCTGCCAGTTCACCTATGTATCAATAATTCTACTCGTATATAAATCAATTATACTAACTTGTAATAATTACTTTTAACCACCAGATGTAATTTTTTTAAATTTTCTCTCCAGTCCCGAAATCGCTGGACATGCCTTCGCAAAAATTTAATAAACTTTTCACATCATCATTATAAATAAAACTTTTCACTTCATCATTATTGAATCATTCAAATCGGACCCTCGGTTATCTCAAAAACAGAATTATCATTTATGGCACTTTTTGCCCCGTATCTTGAAAACGGCTTGAAACTGCATTTGTCAAAAACTAATCGCGCGTCTCCTCATCAATACGAATCGCATTTTTTTTTTTTAATAATTCAAATCGGTTGATTCGGGTTTCGAAAATCATCAACGAAAATTTGTATCCGTACACACACATAGACATTCATTTTTTCTAAGGTATGGCAAAATGTTCAGAATCCTTTAGAACGTAAAGATACATAAAAAATACATAAAATCATACTATAACTTACCCTAAAGGAAGTTAATAGCCAACTAAATCATTACAGTAATTGATATTATATTGCAATCCATGTGGTACTTGTCATGGAGACTTCAGCAGAATTTTGGGAATAAAACTTTCGTCGAGGGTATAAACTTTGATCATTGCAATTTTTTAGAAGATAAAAACAAGGCAGATTACCAAATTTCAAGATATTTAAAATATTTTGAGGCTTTGTCGGAATCAAATAAATAGTTTGAAATGGCGTTTTTCCTTAAAGCAACATTTTACCTTGCGCCACAAACAACTTGTTAAACAATTATTAACTTCCCGTAGGGTAAGTTATTGTAATCGTCCAAAAATCGAAATTGAAAATTTTTACATTTCTGGACGTTTTGAAGGTTTCTGAACACTTTGGCATACCTTAGAAAAAATGGATGTGTGTGTGTGTATGTATATATGGATACAATTTTTCGGTCACGTTTTCGGGTGCACGGATCAACCGGCAACCGATTTGAATGGTTCAAAAAACATTCGATCCTATTGATAGGGAGATGCGCTGCTTAGTTTTTGGCAAAGGCAGGTCGAGCAGTTACGGAGATAAAGAGCAAAGAGGGCAAAAAAATAGAAATCGAGTTTTTGAGAGAATGGAGTAACTGATTTGAATAATGAAAACCAGTCAATTAGTAATGATTGGGAGAAGTGGTTATTAGTTTTTGGCAAAGGTAGGCCCAGCCAATTTGAAGATACAGAGGTAAATGTTAAAAAAGTGGCAGTGTTTGAGAGAACTAAGAGTTCGATTTAACCCTCCGTCGGTCGGCGTGGTCTGGCCAGACTTTTTTCGACTTCAATTAGAAAAAAAAAATACTTCTAGTAATCCTATCGACTTGTAATTTCTTGACTTTTCCTAAAATTTCATTAGCTGTCGATCAATGAAAAAATCAGGATGAAAAAAATGTACAGAAGGATAATTATAAGGATTTAATTTTTTTTATACTTCGAACGGTCGGAAAGGTCTGTCTAGACCACCCATACATTTTGTATGAAATATACGCTTTTTCATGGTATTTTCTATTCAAACTGCGTTTTTTATATTCTTTGCTATGTGTTCTAACATGAATGTTAGTATTTTCATGACGAGAGTTTCTTGAAAACCTACCAAACTTATTGGTAATCGCAAACACTGAAAATCTGATGAGTAATGCACACATTCATTCAGGCGCCAAAAAGAATAAATACTGTTTTTCATTGATTTAAAACAGAAAAATTAACAAAAAAGGCAACGTTTTTTTTATATTTCTTGATTTTTTTATATAATCGTTAATACATAAGACACCAAAAACTCATTTATCCCATATAAATGCATGTAAAATGAATGGTGGTCCAGCCAGACCTTTCCGACCGTTCGAAGGTGAAAAAATATCCGACCGACGGAGGGTTAAATGATTCAAAAAATGTTCTGCTTGTTTTAAAAATTTTTGTTTCAAAATTTTTTTTTCTAATTTTTTTTTCAAAAAAAATTTTTTTTTGTATATCGAAAATAAATCAGATTTTATTTTTAATTCTGACTAAAGTTCTAATATACTTTAAACAAATAATTTCAACTTTGCAATTCAGTTTATATAATTCTTATAAATATTAGACAATGTTACAATATTTATAATAATCTATTTGAAAACATTCAATATTCCTCGAACATTTCGTTACGGTACGGAAGTTCTAGCAATTTGCCTTAAGGCACGATGCCATACTCCCCACTGGTTTGCATTTAGTATTATCTCTGAATAATATAATACTAATGCATATATAATTATATAATTATATATTAAAATTATTAATTATTTTAATAATCTTACCTTTTGATTACACAACACTACACAGCAAATCTCAGGTACGCACAAAATATTCGTCACACACAAATCATATTGCCGGTCAACAGTACTGATAAACAGATCAGAAAATAGTCAATCAAACGCACTATAGTCAATCAGTGTCCACAAATAATAATTGATATTACTTCAAATACAAGTCTACATTAAAATCAATCGATTACTAATAATAATCAAGTCTAAATCTATTATTTCTATCGCGATTTCGAGTCGGTTTTCTCGACCGCGTGGCTACGAGTTCGGAACGGGGTACGAGCTGCGACGCCGCCTGCTCCGCAGTTGGGTTGATACTGCGATTTCGTTGCGAATTCGGAACAAGAGTGGTCGAAAACGTAGCGCCGAGGTGGCAGAAAGAGGAAATTATAATATGCGCAGAGCGTTAGACAGAAACATGGCAAAGATGTTTGTTTATGTTGTTACGGCGACATTGTGGTCGAAGAGAAGGAGAATACTCATGCCTTATTATTAAACATATTATTGTACTATTAAATAAAATGCTTTATATATTAAACTTAGATTTATGAGACTATTCTGCCGTAAAATAGACCAGTGGCTCAAGAGTAGCGTTCCCGAAAAATAATTAACTAGTTAAGTTGGAATAATAACATAATTATGAATTGTACTAAAAAGATATGTATGTAAAATCAAAAATGTATAAAAATTAGAGAATTAGAATTAAAAATGAATTGAAGTAAGAAGAATTTAGAAGAAGAAATGAGAAGTATAGAAGTAGAAGAAATATGTGGTTAGAAGATGAAATGAGAAGATAGTAAAATAAAAATGAAGATAAGTTAAGAAGTATAGAAAAAGAAATAGGATTATATGAAGAAGATAGTATAAAATTGAAGATTGTATAAGATTTATGATTGTATAGAATAACGTGGATGGCTAAATGCTCGAGTAAGCGAGGCCAATAAAAATAAAAATAAAAAAAATGGTATCAAGGATTGGTGCCATAAACACCTATTGAAAATTGAACGCAATCCTAACGAATTTACTTCACTCAATTCTCTGAGAGTTAAGTCGCCTAGACAATATTTGATTATAATGAATTCATATAGACTTTTCGCTCTCCCGAATTTTACGTTCAGAAGGGATAATAAGATTTAGATTAATCTTTAGATTATTCTTACCATAAAGAGAATGTACAATAACTGTTTGGCCTTCAAACAACACTATTGTAAGATTATCCCCTACACTCAGACGTAAGAGCGCTGCTATCGGAATTCAAATTAATGGCGCAAAATTTGAAATAAAAAATTAATGAATTTTAATATTCGGGTATTTAAAGAAATTCATAGTCATATTATGTTTTGTAATAATGCAATAATAACAAAAACATACTAAATATCAGTATATTATAATCAATATACAATCAAATCGAAATATAAACTAGTTGTGTATGGCATAGTGCCTTAAGACAAATTTCTGTAGCTTTCTGTACCAAAAATTAAAACTTTAAATAAATTAAGTTTTTAACATTTTTAAATGTTTAAAAAATTGACTTTTTGATATAGTTGATCTTTTTTATATTCTGAAATTTTTGGATGGGCATTCATTGTCAATTTTTTTCCTTTTCCAATTGTATTTTCCAAACCACTAGCACTACATTCCCAAAATTATAATAAGTTCATCTCGTCAATACAAATAAAACTGTTTTTGGGTCATTCAAATCGGACGCTCCGTTATCTAAAAACTGCATTACCAATTTTGGCACTTTTTGCTCCTGAAAATCTGAATTATTCATATTGGGTGATTAAATTCCCGAAATCGTCGATGAAAAATTGTATCCAAAGATACATACACACACCTACATCCATTTTTTCTTAGGTGTGCCAAATTGTTCAGAAACCTTTGAAACGTAAAGATGTATAGAAATTTTAAAAAAGGACAATGTGATGGGTACATATTTTTTCTTTCATTATTTGTCTTCGTTTAATTGTTCCTTCCTGCTGGGTAAGTTATAGTAATCGTCCAAAAATACAAAATTAAATCATTTGCATATCTTTACGTTTCAGAATTTTTTTAATATGTTGGCATGCCTTAGAAAAAACGAATGTATGCATGTGTGTGTATTTTCTGTGGATAAAATTTTTTGTCCACGATTTTGGATGCACGCATCAACCTCTTGAATTATTCGATTCCTGATGGGGAGATATGCTGATTAGTTTTTGGCAAAGACAGGTCTAGCCTTTTCGGAGATACGCAGCAAAGTATGCAAAAAAATATATTAATTTTTTGGCAAGGTAGAACGGTAGGCTGTTAGGCAGATACATAAATAAATAGGTAAAATAATAGTGGTAAATTAGTAAACAGATAAACAGATAAATATTTAAACATGATAGATATGTACGTAGACAGACGAAGAGATAGACAGATAAATTGGTGGACAGGTAAATTGGTAGACAGGTAAACCGATGGGCAAAGTTCGCTGATGCACAGGTAAATTAATAGATTGGTAAACTGGTTGACAGGCCAACTGGTGGGCAGGTAAACAAATAAAATTAATATTCTGTTAAATTAATATTCAGTAAAATTAATATTTGTCTTGTAAAATTTCTTCCGACAGTAATAGATTTGTAAAAAATATTTGAAGTAGTATAATAGAAGTACATGGCACATTTTAACATATTAAATCAGTTTCATATAATTTTCTGAAATTAGCACTATTATTATTCTAATAAAGTAAGTTTTATTAAATACTAACATTACACAAAAAGGACTATTACGATTCCATATATATTTCAAAATGATGAAATAAAGTAAGCAGTAGTTTACAGCATGCACAACTGAAAGTTGACATTAATTACCACAAAGTGATAATTTATTACAAATTATAACATAAATGAATTAATCTAGTAAAATATCGTCAGTTTTTGATAAAAATACATGTTACAAAGAACGTTGGTTGTTAAATCCAGACCTGCATTTAATTTTTATCACTATACAGAATTACATGACATGTCAATTTAACATTTTACCCCGATTTGTTGTTGCCAAACTCAATCAACGCCGATTCCGATAAGATTAATTTGTGTTTTTAAAAGCATCAAAACCACTGATAAATTGTTCATTACAATCGCGCTTGCAAACGACACATAATATCATTCGCTTTATAATTATTAATAAAGCACATCAAAATAATCATGTGTCTGAAATTCAGGTGTAGCCAACAGCAGATTATTCATTATATAAGCAAAATTGAATTTGTCCGTAGTTCAATGCTACTAGCTCTGGTCTTGCAACCACATGTTCTAGGTTCTATTACCGTCTGGGACAGCTTGATATCAAACAGTAGTTGAATTAAATCACCAGATCTAAATTAGAAACCTTGAAGAAATAGCCTTCCATCACCTCGAAATTAGAAATGTCTAATATTAATATCATACAAAAGAAATTATTAGTCATTTAGTACTAAGAATAGTTGTGATTGATGTTCACAAATATTAAGAAAAAGTTTTAATAGAACTATTTGATAAATGACCTTTTCTTGATTGAACATACATATCAGGCTAATGGTTATATCTTTTTTGAATTCTATAAAATTATGTATATTTTAAACATTGTATTCATGCCTACTTTTCTAATTTCATATTTTTTCTTAAATCTTTCTTTTTAAACAGTAATTAAACATTATACTACAGATAATTTATTAATAATTGGAAAACAAACTGCAATTCTAAATTTATTAAAAATAAATTGAAAGCACAGCTCTTCTAGAGTATTTTATTTGAGTTAAAAGTTTTAACATATTCAATGTTGGCCAAGATTGTTTAGCAGATCTTAACTTTTTTTAAAAAAAACTTCAAATTTATGAAAAAAAGGTTCTTAATTCCTGTTGCATATAACATGACAATAACAAATCCATAATAATTTCCTGCCATATTTAAAAACATGTTATATCAGATAACTACAATTATTTATAATGCCATAGTCAAAAATGATTTATTCATGATATCTGTCTAATAATTGAATACTTAGCAAAAGGTAATATAGATGATTGTGCATTTATTCATTATCAGTAACCAATTTTCGTTACAGTATTCCAGATTAATATTTGGTTTCATGCAAAATTAATCCACACGAATCATATGAAATGTGACATTTGGTAAATTGGATTTGGCGTTGAAGGACATTATAAAATAATTATTAGGATATAATGAGATTATTGATAGAATGTTTCTGGAATATTATAAATTTGGCTTGACTATGAACGGGATATTAATTTTCAGGATATAAATTGGGGAGTAAAATTTCTATAAATTGATTATTGATTTTGTATGTCAACTACTACAAAATCAAATAAACCAAACTATCTAAAGGAAGAATTGATTTTAGAATTAATTGATTTTTTTATTTATTGAAGGTGTGAAAATATTTTGCAAATTTGTGTATTGTATAAGTAGATAAATCTAGATTCAGTTCGAGGCAATTAACTCATTATATACATATATTAAAATTAACACATAATATAGTGATAATTTTATTTTTGTTCATATATGATTAAATGATAAAACAATGACTTATAAATAACTATTTGATACATTCTTAATGAAGCCAATAAAAAAAAATTAAATAAGTTATTCAAAAAGATTACAAAATCCACAATTCATTGTCATGGATTCGCGTTTTTTCATAAAATAAGTCTTTCAAATCTTAGAGATGAGTAAATCGATATAAAGAGTAAGAAAAGTATGAAAGATTTTCCCATTGCCACATCACATCGCAGTGCCCAAAAATGAATTATTTTCAATTAAAAACATATTTTTTGTCTAATATTTTACTGCTTGATATTAGATTTGATATTGCTATTGGATGATATCAAGGTGGTCCAGAAGGAATTGGATTCCGTGTCCAATGATTACTATACCAATCTGTATAAAAATTGTTGTTGAAAATTGTCATAATATATAAGGTTGTCAAATATCTCCCTTCCGCCTTTTTGTATTATAAACCAAGAGCAAAAAAGCGGAAGGGAGATATTTGACAACCTAATAGAAATATATAAAGTAATTTAAACCTTTCCACCCGGATGCCGCCGCTCTGGCAGTAAAATACATATAAATCTCGCAATTCGCTAGTGGAATGGGTTAATTTTACTAAAACAGGAATTATGAGAGGCACTTTTGTTATTGAATTGTTAAACAAGTTCTATATTACTATAGCAAGATCTTTAGCATAAAATGATTCCACAAAACAGATAAAAATATAACATATATAATAATATATTTCATTTATTTATTTTTGTTTCATCAATATGCAATTTATTGTATTTACTTCATCTATAATTAATTTTTTTATA